GCTGGCGGTGGCCGTGGTCGGCGATGCGGAGGTCGCCGCCATCTTTAGCTCTTTTGGGGCGAACCCCCATTTATTTAACAGAAGTAGACCAGCTCAGTTGAACTCAGTGATCGTTAGCGGGTCAATAACTGTTGGCGACAAAATGTAGCTCTGACCGATCGCGATTGAGTCTAGTGTCGTTGGCTTAATGACAGTTAAGAGCGCTAGTGTAATTAGTTTAAAGTCAGCTATACTGTTGGCAAGACCCAATTTTTTTAAGAATCACCAGAGGAACAATGACTAAAGACTGATTGAGAAACTTGCGACCGCTTACAACTAAAGAGCCGAAAAAGTGGTTGGAATATGATAGCACTCTTTACCTACTTCACGCTAACTTCACGATACTCTAAAGGGTGAAACAAGGAGACGACAGGCTCTTTAAATCGACCGGAAAATTCAGTTTCTTAACCTATCGCGCTACGACTTTGTGCAGCGTTGCCCACAGATAATGTTTTTTTTTTGTAAAATTCGCAAAGAGCGAACTTACCTGAGGAAAAAGTAAAGGAAGAAAAGGGCTTAGCTCCTATGGAAACGCAGCGAAGCCACCGCTCTGCAAACAACACGGCGCCGTTTTGCACGGGAGACAAGAGATGACGCAAGCGGTCGCGACGCCAACTGCCGCCAACGAACGATCAGACGACGCCGAGAACCGCCATAATTAGCAGACAAGGAACTGCAGTCCCCTGTTGTTACCGCGCCTGTTTTTGTTTCTGCAACTGTCGCCGCCTGCGGAGCGCGCGCAGCTTTTGAGTCGAAAAGAATGTCTGCTAAAGACGCTGGCTCTCGGCGCCGTATGCTCGTTCGTTGGCGGCGTTCGTTGCGCCATCTCTTGTGTCCCGTGCGAAACGGCGCCGTGCTCTCTGAAGACCGGTGGCGTCGCTGCGTTTCCATAGGATTTATCTGCTTGCAAGGACAACAGCGATGACATTCTCCTAGAGGACATTAAAGACGACCTCTATAAGAAACAGAAACATTGAGGCGCGGGAAATTGGAAGATTGGGGCAAAACTGTGTCAGCATTCCGTCACTCTCTTTATCAGATAAGGAACGCTCCTATTTAGACAAACGGTGACAGTGCATAGCGATGGCTAGTGAGCACGTGGCATCCAGGTCAAGCTTTTTATTCATGTTTGTTTGTTGTGACAATACAGTATTTATACTCGCTGTTAGAACGAATAAACTTCAGTTGTAAGTCAACGCCTTCTTTGTCTACCCCCTCGTTCTTGTCCGTGTCCTTGCGCTGTTTTAATTTTTAACCATAGGAGCTAAGCCTTTTTCTTTCTTCACTTTTTCCTCAGGTAAGTTCGCTCTTCGCAAATTTTACAAAAAAAAAAGAAATGCACCATCTGTGGGCAACGCTGCACAAAGTCGTAGCGCGATAGCTTAGGAAACCGAAATTTCCGGTCGATTTAAAGAGCCTGGCGTCTCCTTGTTTCACCCTGTGTATGGCGTTGAATGCTTCGTGCGTAAAGCGCGAAACACATGTACGACGAAACCGTCCGATCCGACGTCCGACCGCGCAATACGACGGTCGGAGGCGAGGGTTCTCAACGCTCTCCGATGCTACGAAAACCCTCTCCCCCCCAAGGTCATTCTGGCAGTCCGCACGTCGGATCGGAAGGTTTCGTCGTACATGTGTCTCCCGCTTAAGCGCAGCGCGCGTATGTGGAGGCGGCTCCACTTACGCCGGACGTCTGCATACGCAGGCACCACGCGTATGCGGATGTCGTCTTTGACGTCGTCCTAAAGGTCGTCCGTGAAGTTGTCCTAAACGTCGTCGTTGACGACGTTTAGGTCGCCTTAGAAGTCGTTCATAAGATCGCCCTAGAGGTCGTCCTACAGTTCGTTGTAGACGTCGCCTTTGATGAGATCCTCTACGACGTAGTCCCTGACGTCGTCATAGACGTGGTCATAGACGTCGTCCTTGAAGTCGTCTTAGAGGTTGTCCTAAAGGTCGTCCGTGGGATTGCCCATAGAGGTCGCCCTAGACGTCGTCCTTGATATCGCCCGAGAACCCGTCCTAGAGGTCGTCTTTGATGTCCTCCAGGAGAATTTCATCGATGTTGTCCTTGCAAGCAGATAAATCCACGCCGCGAAAACAAAGAGCGGCAGTATGCACACATTCACATTTGCGCCCAAGCTACGAAGCGATCACTCGTTGCTGCGGCGGAAGCAAATAAACCCGTGCCTTTCATACACGGAGCGGCAATACGCACACACTTATGGTGAATTCCACTCGTAGATCTGGAGCGCTTTCCAAAATCCGCGAGGGAGGCAAAATTCCGCTCCGTGGGACCCGCTCCGAATCGACGAGGGGAAGATAAACTTGCATTTTTGGAGCGACCTCCCCCACACCCCCCCTTCCCCACCCCTTCTCCCTCCGCCGTACAAAATGGCCGCTGCTCGAACTTGACAAGCCCACCAACGCCTCAGCCGGCTGATATTTCCGACGACTAGTAACGACTGTCACTGCTTAGCTGCAGGAGTAACACGCGACACAGGCCGGGCGAAATTATACGTACCGCAGCGCCCATGTCACAAATAACGAAGACGTCCGCGTTCGGCACCGTCACATACCTTTCGGCCGCCTCGAAGCGGCGGGCACGGACATGCAGCGATTGCCAGCGGTGGAGTTCAGATTTGTAGTACAACTTTAATAAACACAGGTAACAAACCATCACTTGCGCGGTCGTTGCCTAACCACTTCTTGCTTTATTTCACGGAAAAACGCCGACGGAATGCAGTGTAAAAAGGTAAACAATCACTGGCTGCAGAATGAATAAGCCTAACCTTGCGTCTGCCTCCGGCTTTTCTGTCGTTCTTTTTCTTGTTCTTCCTCTCACGATCACAGACGTCAGCTCTTACGATTTGCCACGCTCCACATTCCCGGCTTTTTATCCCTGATCTACGCGAGGTAGAAGCGTTCGAGCCGTCACAATCCAGAGTAAACAACCGACGCACCCGAACAGATCCAACTCCACGACCCGACCGGCCCGCCGATCTCTCCAACCTCGCCGCGCATGCGCACCGCCGATTTAGACGGAAATCACGTGGGCCGCTCTGTCAGCTTCCGGAGAGATCCGTGAAAACCCGCAGAGCAAGTTCGGCGGAGTTTGGGGCGCTCCGTGGAGCGCGCGCTGCCAGAGATCTACGAGCGGAAGATGACCAACTTGAGCCAGATCTGCGAGCGGAATATGCGCGCTCCAAATGGAGCGCTTTTGGAGCGCTCGAGATCTGCGAGTGGAATTCACCATTACTTTTGCGCCCATGATACGATGCAATTCTCGGTTTGAGTTGAGCTAATTGGTACATGGTTAATGATGGTAATGAAACAGCTTGAACCTTAAACTATTACACAGGAACAGGGCAAGACAACGAAGCTGTAATAATGGCATGGAAACAGCTTAAACATTAAACGATTACACATAGACAAAGCGATCACTCAATTTCGAAGTGGCATGCTGCACTCGAGTTGACGTCAATTATTGCGCCGTAAACTTAAAAAATGAAGTGTTTACTGAAAATTTGCGTCGTCGTATTCCCAGTGCGGGGCGTCGTGAGGCTCATGACGAATGCTATCGCAATTCATACACAACCTTACATTGCAGTTTCTGTAGACAATTATGTTTCTTATATTGCAAAGCTCGAATACCGCTTTTCCAATAAGTGATATGTTTGCATCAGTATCTAGGAGAGCGTCAATTAGGGCGCCCAGCAACGTAACTGTCATACGCGGTTTGATATACTTAGTTGTCGGTTCATTTTTACATACCACGGAGACAAGTATCACTATTTTTCCTGTTTCGGATGTTGTTGTAGTCAAGGTTACCCAACCTGCGTTACCCAACCTGCGTTGCCCACCCTGCGTTGTGTATCCGTACACATCCGTCATCCCCTCCTTTCTAAATTGTGTTTTCAAATAGAACTCCGTTACTACAGCTCTCAGACAGACCGGAACATCATATTTTGTGCGTCCACTCATATTTCACATTAAAGAAATACAAATTACGTCGGTGCATGGTTCTTAAGATCACAATTCCCTCAGAGTAAATCATACTATCGTCTGCATCCGCTCTAATTTTACATTAAATTGTAAACCGCTTAGGCTCATTCACAGCCATTTAGTTCACAATGATATCAGACAAGAGTATCTGTCTCTTACCACCCCTTTAATTTTAGGCTGAAAAAATACTATTACGTTAATTCACAGTCACCGAACTCCCTATTTTTTCAGACCGATGTATCTATCTTCTCCTTGAAAGTATCTATCTTGTTCGTGTTTTAATACAATTAAAACTCGGCGTACATGGTGCATGAAGTGAACTAGATTAGGGTTGAAAATATTACATTGCATTACATTCGTTTATTTATTTATTAGGCAATACTGCAGGCCCCGCTAGAACCCTGGCAGGCGTGGACATATTACATGAAACGACATAATGAAACCGGAAGTATTACACCTTCAAAAAAAATGCCAGCAATAACAAACAAAATAAACATGCAAGCGGGCGGCTCTAAAAGTTAATCAAGCTTTGACAAAAAGCATTTAGGCTCTGAACTGTCAACGGTCTCTTTCGGTAGGCAAGTTCATACAGGGACGGCTCTTGGAAAGGAAAGGTGACTCTGACTTTTAACATGCAGGCTCTCACCTGCCCAGTCTCATTGTGCTGGTTGTGACTGAAACGTAATTTTGAGCGTGCCTTGGATTAGACTCATACCTACGCATAGTTTTTGACTTCGCTAGACCGGTAGGCACCAGGTGTTTTATTGAGCTCGACAATGTCGGAACACTGCACCTATTGGAAGAAATATACATATATGTATATTACACAAATACGAAGAAACGTGGAGCTTTGAGAAGAAGAGTGGTTTGCTATAATGTGTTCTTAGGTTTGAAGTCGGTGCAATAAAATGTAAAAGAAACAAAAACTCATCCACCAAAGAGCGTTCGAAATCTCAACGTTATGTCCGGAAGTCTTCCATGACGCTCATCATCTTGCGGTATAAGATTGGCTCCGCATTTATGCCCCAACCGAAATCAATGTGTGTGAACTGCTCCTCCGGCACTTGGTAATACTCCACCACGTTAGCCAGTTCCTGTCGAAGGTGTGCCACGTCTTGCTCTACGGCAAACCAGTCGCCTTTACTCCAGTAGATTGCCACGGGCACCTCTACTCGAGACAGCGTGTACCCGGGGGGCTTGGGCTGCGAAAATCAAGGCCTTTCGTGACAGATTATATCCGACAGCGGCAAACGCTACAATGTGATGGCGCCAATCACGCACAGCGCATCGTCACAGCGTTCGTGATATTTGTGAATTGGCCGTAATCGGCTAAGCCAATCACGCGTAGAAAAATGTTCAGGGCATGGCTAATTCAGCATGCGTGATTGGTTGAGCAGGCAATAGTAAACAGGGAAAGACGACGAGCGCCGAAACGAAGCACTTTTATCGCTGATTGTTTACATGGATAGTAGCGCTGGCTGCGTTCAACCTTAACGTGAAACTTAATATGGGGCACGGCAGATTTCGTTCTTTAGTTGAATATCGCCCGATATAAGATTAAATATTTTATCCTGCAATGACAGCGTCTTTATTAATGTTCTCCTTGGAATTCATCTGTATGACGTCTCAAGCGTACTACTACGGAAGGAAATATTACCGATGCTATCTTTTAACCAGACAATAGGTTATAGTCTGCGAGGTCCGAATATATACATTTTGGTATACGTAATACCTATACCCACAAAATTACCAGCCAGATTATGCGAGAGATGACTGCATAATGAATTAATCCACTATTCTATGTTTACATTTTATTAATGTAGTAAAAGCTCCGGGAGTTTTACTCTGCGAATGTTTTAGCTATGCAAACTGCGATGGCAATCACACGGCACATTCTGTTATCGAAATGAAATTTTTATTAGGTCATTTGTTGCGCTTTTCTCTTGACTTTTGCCTTCCTGACCGAAATAAGCTTTGGGAACTCTCTTTGACGCACAAATGTAGGAATACTAAGATCTTAGATAAAATAAACGCGTATATCAGTTGGAGATAAGCAAATTAAGAACGCAGTATGCCACAATTCGCACTGATTTTCAAAAGGCGACGTAATCAGAAGTCAAAGCCACACCTCAATGACGATGACGAGCCCTGCGGAGTTCGCGTAAGTAGTGACCGAAATACGTGCAAATGTTATTCTCTTTAAAAAATAAAATAATAAAATAAATAAAACGAGCTTCTTGTTATTGTTAAATTTATGCACGAAATAATAAACAAAGAAGACGGAGCTAAGAACAGGGCCTATTGTCGTGTCCTGTGATCTGTCTTTGTTGTTTATACTTTGGTATCTAAATTAGGCTCCCTGTTTAACCAGAACTCTCCCAATTTTTCGGGTGTGTATATATAATTCTTAGCTTCAGAATCTAGATATGCTGAATTGTCCAAAACTTACTAAAAAGTGATCATGATTTTGGACAGATTAAGAAGCTTCGACACTTATATGGACCTTCTTGTGTTCTAGAGGCTAGCCAACGTCAAAAGCAGCGAACGCAGTGCAGCGCGCCATAAGCGGCGTGCATCGACCTATGAGCGTAAGCTCGATATCTGCGATTATTCAAAATGTGTGTCCTCTGCAATATTCACAAGCACGCTCGCTCTACATCTAAGACCTTGGGGCTTTTCGTTTCTATGCTAGAATATATTGCGCTGAGTCACGAGGAGTGGGATGGATGGAAGCGGTTAAAGGCAGGCGGGATTGGAAGCCGTATGTATAAACTATGCTTTAGGGAAATCATCGTGGACAATAGCTAAGAGGGGGCGCGACAAATGTGGCTTTTTCTGGGCGTGCGGGCGTTCTCGTTTTTGTATCGGGTTTAAAGGCCACATGAACCTTGCTATAATCGTATTATTGAGGAGCCTTTTGCTATGTTAGAATTCATCTAAGTTTAAAAAAAGTGGATGAAAGTTTATTTCAGAATGTGGTCGGATTTGTTGACCTTTGCCGAACGACGATCTGTAACGTTATTGCATCACGGGCTGTCCGTCCGTGTATCAGTCAGCGAGGCATTCGGTTCAGCGGGTAGGAAGTAAGTAACTTCGTCTTTATTGTCATCTCCCACTCAGTGTGGCGGTGGCGCTAGTATCATGACTGTTACATCTCCCTTTTTGGACGGACAGCCCGTGATGTCTTCTTGTATAACATATCATACCGCTTATATAATATGCATCACAACAACTGAAGAGAACGGCCGTAATTTATATATTCTGCCATCCTAAAAAAAAAAAAAAAACTTTCCTTGTAATGTCAAATTTTAGATCTCAATTTTCTTTAGAAGAAAGTGAGCCGCAGTGCTGAGTGTCAGAAACGACGTCGGGCGTGCGTTCCATATGGACTTTTTTTCCAAGATTATATTTACTACTGTCGGAGAGCCAATTATGTTTGTGCGAAGCATACTCGTTAGACCATTTTATGGGAAAAGAAAACTGTTAACTTATTTGCAAGCGAAGTCGATACCAGGATCGGCGGATCCTGGTATCGAACTTTGTTTAGAGATTTGTCTAGAGATTTGTATTTGTCCTTTGTCGGAACTTATCTCTGCGTGGCGATCTAATTCGCCATTACGCGTTTATTTGGTGCGAGGACGGACAGCCCGTGATGCAATAACGGTACAATGAGAAGAGTCTAATTATTATGAAACTTTAGGGCTGCCTGGAGCTCATTCAAATTCAAATTTAACTCTTTTTTTTTTCTTATTAGAAAGCGACTTCATTTTAAAAGCGTAGGTGACTCTTTTGTTAAACGGGAATGCGAGCCAAGTACGTATGCTGAAGCAGAATTGCGACTCGGAAGCCGAAGAGTTTCAACAATTGAGATTAACCGGGAGTGCCCAAGTTGAGAATAAACCGTTTTGCCCAAATACCTCATTCCGCAATCATCTCATCTTGCGCTTTTTTTTTTTTTAATTTCAACTTGGTATGTGTAGTTTGTGTTGCCTATGGCAGGGTATTTTAGAGGATTGTCCACAACAAAACGCATGATGGATTCATTACTCGAATATCCTTCTTTTTTTTTTTTTTTTGGAAACTGATATAAGAAATATTGCTTTCGCCCTCGAAACCGATGACTCCCAATTGCAATCGTATACCGGCAAGCCGTTGGAAATTCACTGGCATGTCGAGCGATGTATAACTCCTGAAAGCTACCAAACACCATTAAAAAAATATTATTAACAATAGTTCGGAAGCTTGATTCATCATGCTTCTCAGCCAATCATAATCATCTCGTTTCATGCCGAACTCCAACTGCTCTTCCGCGGTTTGCTTTAGGGAACGTATTAAGCTTATTTCTTGCTCTATTTTGATCATTATGTTTTATATTTGGCGATAGTTATTAAAATGTGTCTTTCACTACTTGCTTCTCATTGAGTACGTTACGTTTGAGATGTGGCGTTTGAACTAGACTCTCGGTGGTAACGTATTTCAGTCACTTGTCTTATGAAACTTAATACAGTATTATTCTGCTTTTTCAATAGGTTATTTTTTTGTGTATATCAAAGGTATTTAAATATCGAGAACATAGTCTATCCTAGAATTCGTGCTTGTTCGTGTACTAATTGTCCTCTTTGATGATTTGATTATTTTTTCTGTTACTTTTGCCATTTAAAGTCACACACATGTTTACATAGGAAGTTGTTTGATCGGACGCTGACGAAATAAAACCTTACGTCCACTGTCCACATGCAGATTGCTTTTCTGGAAAGCAGCATTACCTCGGCTTTTATTCGGCCGTCTTCATCTGGTGGCATTTACTTACACACTCAGTGCTTCGTGATTACGCAGCTGCGGGGATATTTGTTTTTGTGGAAATAGAGTATTGACATTTACAAGCAAGAAAAGTTCCCATAACGGTTGAAAATAAACAAGGTCTTGCACAGATTACATCTCAGGAATCATATAGAGAGTCGTTTTAGTCGGCATTGATGTCCTCTTTTGTATTACAATCTTTGTCTTTTCGTGACAAATTGATATGTTTGCAATCAAGTAAAGTACAATTACCTTTCCATACTTTGCAATGTTCTTGGTAATTCCGTAGTCAAACTTTTCGAAGCAGTTGCACCGTACCAACTGCAAAAAAGAGTAGAATCGGCGAGGGTTAGTAAACATTTATGTAAACAACGTATGTATTTGTGTGAGTTGGGCAGGATACAATGCATGTGCAACGAATAAAATTATCTGTGGCATAAAGGGAACTTTAATTGATGTACACACATAAATACTTTTCAAAAAAATATTTGTGCAAAGCATGGCATGCGCTCATGCTTAAAAGCCCGAAAAGTCCGAAATGTTCCCGTTCGACAGAGATGTCTAGTACAAATGAGGAAGTAAATGCCCACCCCCCCCCCCCCTTTTCTACAAGGATTTACGTTGAATATAATTATGTAAGCAGTCTACCGACTTGGAAATGTTTGAAAAATTTGCTGAAGGTTCTACAAACTAGTTTTCAATAAGAGACCAATTTTGAAAACCTAACATTAATGCTAAATGCCTCTCTCACTATAAAATGTCATTATAATCTCCAGATAATTCTGGTCATCAGTGTCTTAATAAAATATACTGAGTTATTCTTATATTTGATAGCAATGGAGCAAGAGAACTTTTCTAGGTATAGGGCGAATAACGCGGAATTCAATATTTCATTTATTTAAAATTCTTCCTTTTTTAGCATGGTCAACTTCAATTGTATACAGGAATTTCAAACCCTACAAATATGTTTAATCTTCAAATATAATATGATTAAAAAATGTATCTTTCCAAATATTTAGCGGATCAATATTTGTTATTCATCAGTCACGAAAAAAAAATAAAATACGTGCGCTGCGGGAACCCCCGCTGCCACTTTGGGTAAACGGAACTGAAAGATACCATTAGGTAATTTCTAAAGAACAAAATTTAAAAGACAGCTAATCATTTTTCTATGTGCTTAATAATTAGTTACCTTCGCGATATTACCCGTGTCTTGCTATGACTTCATGCAAATGTATCTGATATGTAAGAAAACTGAGTGATATGTACTAATCTATTTAATATATTTATTCGTACTCTTTAAATATTCTATTTTTCTAATTACCGCGACATACCAGTTGTACTGGTTTTCTTGTTCAATGCAATTATTTAATTTCGCCTATTCTTGTTCCCTTTTCGTACA